ACCCAGTGCCTCACACAAGCTAGGCAAGCTCTCTACCCCTGAGCCCCAGCCTCAGCCCCCGGGGATACTATTTTTGACCTACAGATTGGCAGGGAGCAATGCACTAAATACCATGTTGTGTGGATGAGTCTGTGAGGATGTGGGAAGATATCGGTGGTGTTTTGTGGGAACGTTAAATAGGACCCTTCTGTTAGATACCCACATGATAGTATCACATAAGCCATCAGACGTGAAGGAGACATCTGGGGAGTAAGAAGCTGGCCAACGTCACGGACACAAACGTGGCCTCTGTGGTGACAAGATTGAATAAACACCAGGAAAATGTTAGGTGCAGAAGAGAAGGCAAGAAGGAAATACTACAATGTGCTACTATAGAACCAAGATGAGACGCCCACAGGCCCGGGCAGTTCCACCCTCAGGTCTAAGCTACTTTGGGGTCCTTTTCTGCTTCTACCCCATCATCACCCTCCCGTGGGCAATGAGTGCTTAGTCCATCGTAAAGCTCTGAGACACAGTCCTCACCCAGATGTCCAGGACCCAGAAATCCCTGCCCAAATGACCCCGATTGTCTCCTCCTTTTCCTTATCCCCCCACCCAAGACTGAACCCAGGGCCTTTTATGTGCAGGCTGGGCAGGTGCTCCGCCATGAGCTACATCCCCAGCCCGCACAGGGTCCCGGGACTGCCTCTCGTCCATTGTCCCGAGACCTCATTCGGTCAACACCGTTCTCATCTCTAGGGCTCTGAGACAATGGCGGGTGGTTGGTGGCTTGAGGGGTCAGTGTTTGTGCGGAACTAGGATGGTAAGAGCCTGGGTGTCCACACTTATGCACGTCTGAGGTCTCTCGTGGTGCAGGATGGGGCCAGAGCAGGAAGAGAGGTGGGCCACAGGGTCTGGGGCCTCTGTTCTTTCGCTCCATGTCCTGCAAATGTCAAGGGAGGGCCTGCTTCCCAGAAGAGAGGTTCCTGTCCCTGTCTTACAGAGGCCTTGCGGAGGAAGAAGGGAGAGCGCCAACATGACCAAAGGCTCTCTTCCCACCGCACCGCTGACGGGTTGACTGCCTTCACAACCTCCCGGGTTCCAAGAGGTGAGCCAGACACTGGCAATGTCATCAGAAATGGGACAGGCGTCCCAGTCTCTCCCAGTGGTCCCCAATGTTCTCAGGATGTAATCCAAGCTCTTTCTTATCCGTATAAAAGTCTTCATCGATACACCTCTGCCTCCTTTTGAAGCTAACCCACTTCCTCTCCCTACTCCCCACTCTGCTTCAGCCACATTGGGCTTTGCCCCCAAATAGACCTTTTCCATTCCAAATAGTGTTTTTATTAATTTCTAGGTGTGAAAAACATCCTCTTGCACACCCTCCCCCACATCCCACTTCCTTATCGCCGATCGCCAAGTCTCAGCTTAAACATCCCCCCTTTCCAGGAAGCATTAGGTCTCCACTTCTGACCCCGGGTGCTCCCAGGACATCCTGCAGTTATTCCAGCATAATTCTAATTAAACAGCACTCAGGTTTTCTATCGACCTGCTTCTAGACTGAATTAGATTGTTGAGAATGTGAACATATCTATGGGTCTTGTACCCTCTTGTTGTGTAAGACAGAGCACGGCAGACCTCAGGTCCTCAATGCAGATTGGGTGTACAGTTTGGGGTTTAGGTGCCGATGCTTCTGGGCTAGTTGAAGAGTTTTCTTTCAGGGAAGAAACCAGGAGTGGGGCCATTCAGCCAGCAGAGGGCGCAGGCGAGTCAGCCAGCTGGTCACAGGCCAGAGTCTTGGAGAATTGTGGTGTCACAGAGGCTTAGAATCTCAGGGTCTTGGCACTAGGCGGCAGGGGAGCTATTTGCTTCATTTGGCATCTGATAGTCATGGACTCACTGGGCTGCTGAGGAGAATCCATCTTCTATCTGCCAGAACCCATCCAGGGAAGATCATTTCTGTGAGAAGCTGGGTATGGGACTTGTGAATTGAGAAGAGGGAAGAGCAGCGGCCAGTCCAGGTACCCGAGGCGCCTCGACTGGGCTGCTCCCCAGCGCTGGTCCCTTGGCCCATTCCTTCCTTCCTTACTGAGACCTGCCTGGGCCAGGCGGGGTGTGAGCCGGGAGAACCGCAGATGCAAGGTGGAGGGAGGGTGCCTGTTGTGAGAGTCTGGAGGAGAAGTCAACAATCACAAAACAACAGCCCCACAGAGTGTGGGTTCTTTAACATTTAATACGAGGTGAAGATGTAGGGACAGGAACTGCAGACGAGGGGAAGGGCGCATTCAAAGACCCAGAAACGGGAGAGAGGAGTTTAGGAGCAGTGAGCCCTGAGCCAGCCCAATAGGCATGAAAGACCAAGGCTGGAGGGTGGGCGGCCAGGCTTTCTATGGATTCTCCCTGAAACAAGCAGTCAGACCTCCCAAGACAGGCCTCGCCCAGGGCCATGCTGCCCCTCCTGACTGCGTGGACAAGCGGATTCCTAAGCCACTCTCCCTCTGGGTCATGGCACAACCTCCATATTTGGGCCTTGGTTCTGGGATCCAGAGGGAGCTTCCCTGGACAGCAGTTCTGGGGGCCCTGATGCACTGCACCTTGTGGTCTGAGAAGTGCTGTGTAGAAACAGCCCAGCCAAGACCCAGAAGGATGGACCCTAAAAGTGACAGTCAGGCTCCGAACTGCCCACTAAGGACGTTGACCTTCAGGCTAGAGAGAGATAAGGCCCAGACATCCAGAGGAGAGAAAGACATAGCAGGAAGGACAGGAGCGTGGTAGAGACGGGGAGGCGGAGAGAAGGAGAACTGAAGGAGGTGACAGGAGCCCACAGAAGAAAGAAGCCACAGAAAGCCAGACACTGAAGGGGCCACTCTGGCCTCTCCCCTCCCAGAGCCGGTCTCAGGTCTGGCCCCCCAAGGAATGGATTCAAACAGAAGGTGACCGATGCAGATGCAGGGTTCCCTGCTCAGGCCACACCCCCAAACTCACTCCCTGTGGTTGCAAGAGCCTGCAAGTAGCTCACGTGAATGCGCACACACACACACACACACACACACACACACACACACACACACACACGCCTTCTGTCAACATGATTTGACCCTGTCAAGGTCATAGACAGCACAGGACGCCTGGCCCTCGCCTGTTCCCCTGTTCCTAGTTTGATGCTGTGTGTGACTACCCTGTATCTCACCATTGTTCCACCCCGTCTTTCCTGTCCCCTCCCCCCCCCAGGAAAGTCAGGTCACTGCAGGGCAGATCTGCTGCCTCGGCCCTTGATGGGATCTCTCATATTAGAGGGAGGGATGGGCACTTGTCCCCACCCCCGGCCCTTGCAGTCCTGCTCCACTGTCTTCCTCTTAAAACCTCTTCCGAGGGACAGAATGAATCCTGAAGACATGGGATCCTTAAGTGAAATAAAGCCAACTTTAATTGAAGTTAAAGAAGCCGCTTTCCCCTTTAGGCTGGGAACCGTCCCTGGCCGGGTTCAGGCCGCGGCCACACAGCCAAGGGTCTGACTGTGTGACGGGCTCAGACCAGGGGCAGAAGTCTTGCAAGTGACGCCTCCTTTCCTAATTCCTTTTCCTCTGGGGACTCTAGGACATCCAGGTACTGCAGGTCCTAAGGGAGTCACCCCAGCCTGTCCCCGCAGATAGCATCAAGGAGCACAGTTTGGCCTCCTGGACACCGGCCAGTGGACACCCTCCCACAGAGAAAGCCCAAGGCGAGGCTCCACTGTTCAGAAAGCAGAGTGGCAGGGGCCGGGCCGGGCTGGGCCGCAGCTTGTCAGATGGAGTGACTTCTGCAGGGTGGAAGCCTCAGCCCCAGCTGACTCAGTGGGACCCAGTTTGTCCAGCATGAACTGGATTAGACGAATCCCCGGGTGAAAAATGTTGGCTCTAAGTGCCTAACACCCACCCGTCCAGGACGGCCAGGCCCCGGCTCCTCTACAAAGTCACAGGGTTCTGGTAGCAAAGTGGGTCCTCTCACAGGCACCCTTCAGTGACCGCCTAGCTCAGGAATCCTCCACACTGTCCGGAAGGCTGCTCAGTGTCTGTCCCACGGGAGGACTCTTTTGATGTGAACAGGGATTGGTTTCTGTCCCCAGGGGTCTCTCTCTCTCTGCATGACACAGAAGAGAACAGAAGGCAAGAGAAGATGGCTTCCTAAGCATGAGAATAGAGCAGGAAAGGTGTTAGCAGGCAGGAAGGTGGCAGGAGGATGTGGGGTAGGGAGTCAGCAGGCAGGACGGGTGGCTGGAGGATGCACAGGGTCCACGGAACAGGAACCAGCACCTGGGAAGGGCGATTCACCCAGGCTCCACCAAGAGGGAGTTAAACAGCCTTTGTCAGGAGCCTCTAGTTCTTCCTTGTTTGTACCTGTGAACAGACACTCGCACACGCGTGTGCACACACACACACACACACAGATACACAAGCGTGCATGCTTAGTGGAAAGCCCACAGTCGTGACGAGTTGAGTTTCAAAAACTTGTCTGGACTGAGGCTTTTTGCAAAAATCCCGTGGGCGCCAGAGGCTGGCAAGTGGTTGAAACCTCGTCACCTCTGTGGTTGCCACGGCTGGTGGCTCTGAGGGTCCTGTTGTACTCAGGTCCCGTGCCGCACTTGAGACGGGAAGGATTTTATACTGTTGTGGAGCACCTGAATCTGACTCATCCTCAGTCTGCGGGCCCCTTGTTCCTCACCAGCTAGGAGATTTCAGGCAGATTTCTTGTAGATTCTGGTCTTTTGATTCCTTATCTAGAAGACAGCCACCACCCAGTTAGGAGCACACACACTGGCCCGGGGGAGAGGCCCAGGGTGATGGGGAGGGCCATGGACTCTGAGGGACCCGGCCCTGCTCTGCCCAGAGAGTGAGCCATTATCCTGAAGCGGGGTGTACGGGGGAGTCAAGGTAGAAGAAAGCAAAAGCGGACCCCAAGTTTCTTTCTAATGAAGACGTCATTCTTTCTTGCAGGACCTCCGAATCTAAGGAAGATGTGTGACCCACCGAAATGCAGCCCGTGCTGCCCACCCAAGTCCCCCCCATGCTGCCCATCCAAACCCCCGTGCTGCCCTCAAAAACCCCAGTGTTGCCCACAGAAGCCTCCATGCTGCCCCCAGAAACCGTGCTGCCCCCAGAAACCGTGCTGCCCCCAGAAACCCCCCTGCTGCCCACAGAAGCCGTGCTGCCCCCAAAACCCGCCGTGCTGCATCCAGTCCAAGTGCTGCTGCGTGGAAGCCAAGCCCGAGAACGCTTACCTTAACGAGCAGACTTCGCCCGCACCACCTCCACCCCCGGAGAAGAATCCTGAACCTCAGGAGCAGCAGCAGCAGCAGCAGACCCAGAGTCCGCAAACCGGCTCCAAGCTGGGCTTCTGGGGACAGAAGAAGGCCAGCAAGTAGGTCCCCCTGGCGCCAGGACCATCGCTGACGATGGAAATGGTAGCTTGAAAAGGCCCGAATCATCTTCCTAGTGATCTTAACTCTAGATAACAGAAATAAAAGAGCAACGCAAAGCAGGCTGCCTCTTCCTGTGCTCCTTGTCCCTGGGAAGCCACGTCACCAGTCCCAGCACGTGTTTGGGGCATCTCCTGAAGGAATAAGGAGCTGGAAACCAGAGTCCTGAGCAAGACGGAGGCCGAGCCAGAGCTAGGGTGAATGGCTGGTTCTGGTTTTCAAATGAAAGTCCTGCCTTCCAAGAACCCCCTGAGTCCCAGGGAAAGGGTGTCCTTGGTCACCCAAGAACCCCAAGGCCCTTGAGTCTTTGGGTAGCACGTTTGTTTCCAGAATAAGCAAGGATACATAAATCCACGGTGATGCTCACCAACGAGGTGGCATCTCGGGGACTCAGCAAAGCAAGGTTGACTGGCAGCAGGTGACACAGCCTCCGACTTCTGCCCTGGCTTTGGGTCAGGGAGTAGCAACCCTAGAATAAGTCATTCAACCTCTCTGAGGCTCTGTTTCCTCCTGGGAAGAAGGAAAATCACAGTACACACCTCTGAGTCTTATGAGAAGAGGAATGATTCGAGTTAAACAAGTAGTGAATATTGAATATGAGGTTCTTAAATAGTTCCCTGCCACTAGGTGCCGCAGTCCGGCTGCAGCAAAATAACCGGGGCGGGGCGGGGTGACGGACAACTTGTGTAGATTGATACAGCAGGAGTGGGAGCCGTTTATTGTAGGACAGGAGGGGTATATACACATTCCACACAGCTTACCTTAACATAAACTAGATACAGCAGTCAACCAATAAGGAATCTCCATACTTAATGGCTCGCTGGCGCCACCTCACAAACCACTCCCCCTGGCAAAATGCCAGGCGCCATCCTGACTTGTTTACAGACTCTAATAACTAGGAACCTATTTCCCTCCAAAGAAGCCACTGTGCCCTAATAATTTATCCCCAAACTTACCCCAGTTACTCTAAGTGCGCAGGTAGGAAAAAAAAAAAAAGATCAGCCTCATTCCTCATATTTCCATTTTTACTGCTTGATGATGTACAGTTGACACGTCACCCCACCAGTTTTCCTAACACCTACTCAAATTTCCTCCCTTATGCCTGGGCCGCCCACCACTCACCAGAAAACAATGGATCTACTTTTTTGTTCCTGTACATCAGTTTGTATTTTCAAGAATCTTATGTAACTGGGATAATACAATATGTACTTTTTTTATGTTGAAAAGTTATTCAAAGATATCTCCTCCTAAACATCACATAGATGAATTACTCAAAACTGCCATTTCTGTTTGGGTGGCCTCTAGGACCTACAGAAGTGATTTTCAAGTTCTCGGAATTTCAAACAAGGGGTCCCCTAATAACGGAGCACCAGTTGCCCCTAGGCATGGTGGTGCACACCTGCAATCCCAGGTACTCAGGAGGCTGAGGCAGACGGTGGGAAGTTCAAGGCTAGCCTCAGAAACTTAGCAAAACCCTGTCTCAGAATATTTTAAAAGGGATCTGTGGATATAATTCAGCGGCAGAGTGCCCCTGGGTTCAATTCCCAGTAACACACACACACACACACACACACACACACACAGCTCCAGTCACACACAGATACTCCCCATTTTGTTCAGTTTGTGGACAAAATGCTTAAAACTGGAAGGATCTGTATCTCTAGAAAGAGTTTGTTGGAACTGATATTTTTGCCCCTGGGAGATCAGTCATTTCTCCAAAAGTTTTGGTAAAAGTTAGGGTTCCGGATTTCAAAATGTAAACAGGTTTATGGAGCAGAGAAACGGGCCGCTCTGTTTAAATTCCTGGTAGTAGTGACTCTGGCTGGGTTCGACCCCGGAGAAGGGCAAACCCCCATCCTGTGGGGGTAATCTTCCAAGGGAAGTGGGACAGGATGCTGAGACCTTCCCAGGTGGCTGGCAGGCTGCGGGTCAGGTGGAGCTGAGAACAGGGTCCTGGGAGGAATCTTTAGGGCAGCGTTGCTCTGGTCTTGCAGTGGCCGGCCCTAAAGATGGTCAAGTGTCCCCTCGGTGGTCTCCAGGAAATCCGCGGCTGCTACAGTGGTTAGGGCGCTGTCCTTCTCCACAGCCCGCCGGGCAGCGGGTGTCCGTCCTTGGAGCACAGCAGGCAACAGTGGGTGTGGGCCCCCCAGAGCTGTGACCCGCACGATCCCCACGGCGCCCCACTCCAAGCCTTACCCAGGGAAGTGGGTGGTGTCTCACCACACCCAGGCCACACAGGGGTGGGGGGCACTTTGGCAGAGGCACACCCCATGGAAGGGCAGCAGAGCAAAGTCCTCTGGCTCTCCTCTGCTGGGCTCAATTACCAAAGAGCCCTCCGTTCGCAGGAGCAGAGCTGCAGGACCCTGGGGTCCCCGGCCAACCTTCCCCCAGGACCACGGGCCTCATTCCAGGGCCCACTCTGCCACCCCGGGCAGCTCTCCCGTGGAGGCTGACCCTGGCGGGTGCTCTCACTGGACCACAGGGAGTCCCTCCCCGGCTCCTCCCAGGCCCTGCCAGCACCTGGCTTCCCTCACTCAGCAACATTCTGTGGAGATTCAGACAAGTGGTGGCACGCATCAAATTGTTCACCCCTTTTTATTGCTGACTGCTCAATACCCTCATGGGGTGGTGACGCCACATTTTGTTTATAGATATTAACTGGCTGAGAGACATTTGATTCGTTTCCAGTGTTTGGTTATCACCCATAAATCTTCTATGGACATTCACGGACAAATGTTTGGGGCCTATGCTTTAATTTCTCTTGAACAAAGTTTTAGGAATAAATGACTGCAAGGGTGAAATCTCTCACGTAGGCGGTGTATGTTTTACTTCTTAAGAAACCAAGCCAGGCTCGGTGGCACACGCCTGTGATCCCAGTAGCTCAGGAGCCTCAGTAGCTAAGGCAGTGGGATCACAAGTTCAAGGCCGGCCTCAGCAACTTAGCAAGGCCCTAGGCAACCTAGTGAGACTCTGCCTCAAAAGGCTGGGGATGTGGCTCAGTGGTTCAGTTGTTAAGTGCCCCTGAGTTCAATTCCTGATAGAAAAAAAAAAAAGAGAGAGAGAGAGAGAAGGAAAGAAAAAGAAATCTTCCATCAATTTTCCAACATAGAAAGAGAGTCCCTGTGGTTGCACATTCTCCCCAGTGTGGGCGCTCTGTTACTCTAGTGGCAGACATTCTAACAGATAGATACTGGTATTTAATTGTGCTTTTACTTTGCATTTCCTTAATGGCACATGCCTTGGAGCCTCTTTGTCTTTGATTATTTGCTTCCATCTTTGATGAACTATCTGTTCAAATATTTCCTCCATTTCTCACTGAGTTGTCTGGTTCCTTATTACCGAATTTTGAGGATCCTTTATGAGTGAGTGTTTTATACATATGACCTCCAGACTGTGGCTTATCTTTCCATTTTTCTCAACATTTTTTCCATACAGCAGGAACACTTAATTTTGATACAGTCCAATTAATCAATTGTTTTTTTTTTAAAATGAATCTTACTTTTTGTGTCATATCTAAGAAATCTTTGCCTAAAACTGGAACCCAAAGAATTTCTCCTATATTTTTTTTGTGTAAGTTAATTTCTCTACATGGTCAAAAGTATAGACAAAAGGCTTGTTGTGTGTTTGTTTTGAGGGAGTGAAGCATATGGACAACCAATTATTCTGGCATTGTTTGTTAAAGACTGTCTTTTCTCTATTCAGCTGCTTTTGCATCTTTGCCAAAAATATCTGGTAAATCTGCTTCAGTTTAACTCTGTTACAGTGATCCATTTATCTATGCTGACACTGACTTCTTCTTTGCTGTAAGTTTATAGTAAATCTTAAAGTCAGGTAGTGTAAATCATCTAATTCTATTATTCTACAAAATGACTTTAGCTATTCTAGGTTCTTCAAACATCTATATACATATTTAGAATACACTTTTCAATTTCTATTTTAAAAAATACCTGTTTGGATTTTAACTGGGATCAAATTAAATCTGTGTATTAATTTTCATGGGGGATAGGGAATAAATATCTTTACAATATTAAATCTTTTGATTCATGAACATGAAGTATTACTTTTTAAATTGTATAGTTTTTGATGAATGTTCGCACACATTTAGCATAGTTTCCCTAAGTATTTCATTTAGCTTGATCATGTGATATATGAAATTTTTAAACTTTATTTCTAATAATTCAGGTACATAGAATACAATTGTTTTGCCCATTAACCTTGGATATTGCTTATTAGTTTTTTTATAGCTCTCATGTAAATGCCATAGAATTTTCTACTTGCCACCTAAGCACAGAGTTTTACTTCTTTCCTTTCAATCCAGATATGTTTATTTCTCTTCTGCCATTTGAGAATGTTCCTTATCTTTCTATTTTGTTGAGAATTTTTAACAGAAATAGATGTTGGATTCTGTAAAACACATTGACTTCCATCTATTAAGATAATCATGTTTATCCTTTGGCTATTAATATGGTGAATCACATTGATTAATTTTTTTTTAAAAAATATTTTTATTAGTTATTGATGGTCCTTTATTTATTTATTTGTTTAAATGTGGTGCTGAGAATCGAACCCAGTGCCTCACACATGCTAGGCAAGTGCTCTACCACTGAGCCACAACCCCAACCTGATTCATTTTTGAACATTAAAACAAACTTGCATTCCTCAAGGTAAATCCCATTTTATCAGGTTGTAGGAGCCTTTATTC